ATATATATATATATATATATATATATATATATATATATATATATATATATATATATATAAATATATATATATATATATATATATATATATATATATATATATATATATATATATATATATATATATATATATATATATATATATATATATGGAACCTCATGAGTGTAATCAATTCACTTGCATCAGTTGATGACGATCGAATGTTTGCCAAATAATTAAACGTGGACCTTACGTGGTGTTTTCACAAAACAGTCATATATATATCGCTATTCAAGTCTGCAAAGGAAATCAATTCATAATCTTTAAACCAATGTGAAACACGTTTTTAATTATACAAAACTAAACAACACATTATGAATACAATTCATACGACTATAAGTGCAATGCTAAGCCTGGTTTCCATTTCGTTGGGACGTTTGCATGAATGTCCCGATATATACAGTATATTGAGTGTCAATATATCTTTGCAATCAGTATAGGTCGATTTACATGCAGTAAAGAAAATAACTAAATCATTTCACATGGTGACTACAATTTGTTCCAACTGAATGGAAATTAGGCTTTTGTATTCAAGTTGCGAAAACTGTATTCTGTAAGGAGAAATGTAAGAGTTCTGTTACAAGAGAAATGTTACTAGATTTTCTGTTACTAAAGAAATGTTACTAGGTGTGCATGTAAAAATCGCGGATCCTCCCTCTCGCCCAAAAAAACGTGTCATGTTTTCGTGTCAAAACATCCAGGAATGCTACATTCCCAACCTCGCGAAATCGACAATTTGGAAATGGCAACGTCTGATTGGTCTGCGGGAAATTGTGCTGAAATTAGCTAGTAATTGTTTGACATTTTAATAGCAGGAATGTGGTCGCATTCTTGAAAGTTTTGACACGAAAACAAGACACGTTTTCTCGGGCGAGAGGAAGCATCGGCGGTTGTGGTGATACCTGTAGTGTACCACGTCTCTTACTCTTTCCCAGAACCACACATACAGTTATAATGCGAACAATATAAAAAGTGTGTTTGAAATGTCAACTATGTCAATCTATGTGCAACAAAGTCTATCTGGAATATCAACTGCGTGTATTTAAAACCTAACCGTCAATCTTATTCATCACTGTCATCTGAATCAAAGTCCGGACTTTGTTTCCGCTTTCGTTTTGCCGGTCTTTTCCTTGGTTCCTCGTCCTCTTCACTTTCCGAGCTCGACTCTGCTTCGGCAATTTGGGTTGCAATAATTTTGGACATCCTGTTGTTCCTTCTTTTCGTCTCCTGTCCTTCACAAACAGAGAACAGCAGTTGGAACTTTTGCTGAACGGAATTCGTACAATGTTGCTTCACTTTCTCGAGTGAGCGCTTCACGATGTCTTGTTTGAAGAAATCCAAGTTCTGTTGTTGCTGACAAAGTTCGTAGAAACATTCAAGTTGAACCAGTATCTGTTCCATGGTTGGTTGGTTTTGGTTGCCACCTTTGAGTTGCCGTCTACGATTACATGTGGATAAATTCTTCTCAATGTGGCCACATACGATTTTTGCCAATTCTTTACTATAGTCGAAACTCCAGTATCGCAACAAGCACGTGCTGAGCTGTTTAGGTTTCTCTTTGATAGAAGTAGGGCAATCCATGCAGAGTAAGGAAGATACTATCTCAGGAGTAAGATCTGTTCCTTTTAGAAGAAGCAGAATATTAGAAATAGCTTCAGAATGAATACTTGGCTTTAATAATGGTAACAGATTCAGAAAACACTCCACCGGAGGGTCTTCAGCACAAAGCAACTGCCACACATTATACTGTTCATAAGACTCCCAAGATAATGACTCCTTTAATACATCATACACATTGTCTTCTCCAAATATCACCAAATCTCGCAAGACTACTTCGTGAAGCAGCTCTCTAAGCTGTAAAGGATCAACAATAGCAACCAGTAAATGAAGCATTTCTACATGTCCAACAAGATCTTTTGAGAACTTTCGATACAGTGGTGGTGCTAGAAAGACAAACAATCTTGGGTCGTATGTTTGGCATAATTTCATATCTTCCAATAGGCTTGCAGAAATAGACTTAAAATCTTTCATTGTTCGAATGAACTCTTCATAAATAGAAAGATTTTCTTCATCTTGCTCACTAGCCATAAGATAATACAGTAAATGATAACCAAGTTTTGGTTCTCTGAACTTCATTTCTTGTAAAAGTTTGACAATGGTCTCTCGGCCAATGTCATGTGTAGGTAGGTGAATCAGTTTAGCAAACAATGTATACAGTGGTCCTTCCAAAGAGTCTTGAAGTTCTCGGCCAGTCACTTTCTCTGGCAGGCATAACTGATAGTAATCTTCAACCATGCTGTTATTTAAACAAGTAGCTAATGCACTGTTCATTTCATCGTCAAAGTCATTTAACGAGACTACTAAAGCAACTATGCTTTCCATGGTATCACATCGAGCACCAATATTGCTATCTTGGTGTAATTTCAGAACCATCTCACGAAGGTCTTCGTCCAACTTTTCAAGCTCATCAAAATCAACCATGTCACCATCATCATCATCATCATCATCATCGTCCTTCTCATCACCAGCTTTCTCAACAGCAATTGGTCGAAACTTTCCATCTCGAAGTTTAACACTCCCTTTTTCTCCGTTCACCTGAACATCGGCTTCGTCTTCAGTGTCTGAAAACTTAGCATCGCTCATCCCCTCAGCAGGGTCTGAATCCGAATGGCCATCTAGATTTGAAACAATTCCACTCTCACTGTCCATTTTGCCACCGGATGGTGGGTCAGGAATTTTTCCTGACGAAGTGCCATTCACAGGCTGGAAAAACTCAGGGAAAGTGCTGCGGACGAGATTCTTAAGTTCTTGTCCCATTCGTTGGTTATCAATAATTGGCATGATTGAGCTAACAACTTTCTTGGACAAAATAATCCTGAAAGCATTTCGGACACAATCTTTTGATGGCTGACCTTGCTGAAAATACTCAAGTGCGGATCGACAAAGGAAGTCAAGCAATGTGGCAGTAAGTTGGAAATGGTTTCTCAGAGAGTGATACATAACCAATATTCCCGGCTCAATGTTCATGATATTGTCCGTATCAACTTGGTAAAACAACCAATCATAGAAGAGTGCCAGTTTTGCATTTGCTGCACTCACATTGTTTGGGCAAGTTGATAAAAGCCAACCAATCAAGGTCCATCGTTGTGTGATATCAGAGCTAAGAATCTCATTGGAAGGATGAACAACTCCACAAATGTATCGAATGAGATCCGCACGAAGACTCTGGCTTTCCGGTGAGGTAAGGTACTGTCTCTGAAACCATTCAAGGTACCACTTTTGCTTTCCAAACTTTACTTTCGAAGTCAGAAATGCAATCTTGTTTTCCATGTCAGGGGTGAGCCGGGATGCCAAGTATTTACGGGATGTCCGCACGCTCAAAAGCTGACCAATTCCAGTAAACTGTGAACTTAACGACTGTGGTTTATGTAACATGTCCTTCCAAAGGGATTTGATTTCTGGAATTTTACAAACATTCTGGAGTAACCGGACTAAATCTCGCCCAATTGGCATGCAATCAAGAAAACGTTCACGAAGAATAGACACACAGAAAGTGACTTCTTTTTGTCGAAGGCTTTTGTAGGCACCTGCTGTATGGTCCACAATTAATCGCAAGTAGCTATACAGCACAACAGACAGTAGTTGAGGAAATTTTTCAAGCCAGCTTCGGTTTTGCATGAACAAATTCAAAAGGGATTCTATTAACCAAATGTTAGTTGCATGTAAATCACCACCGGCTGCTTGCTTTAACAGAGCATGACAGATAGCGTCAGCGCCGCCAATGTTCGAACCAACAAATTTCAATGTCAACCACATAATCTGGGTTTTCACTGGGTCCATCAACCGAATGTACTTCTCCGATATTAATTGTAGTAATTTATTGACAATGAGAACCATGGAATCTCTGCTAACGAGATTGAGGTCACGAAATGCATTATGGGCACTGTTCGATTCGGTGAGTATAATATGAAGTAACCCAAGGCATACTTCCTCATGCATTTGGGACCCTTTCGACACAGCAGCACTCAAAGCATCATGGGCTTGCTTATCGGATAAATCTTTTGTGAGATCGTTGACAGTCTTCCGGCATTTCTCCAAATTTTCCTCGAATGCATCTTGTGGTGTCAAGGTATTTGAAAAATAAAAGCGGGACTTTGGTTTGTCAGCACTTCCCGCATTCATTCCGTCACACCTCGGTACTATTCCCCCACACACCGAAACATGAGCCCCGTCACGGCTCACGAAACTCGCTCGTTAAAAACGTTTTACTTGCCTAAAACTTCAGTTTAATATGGCAAATCCCGGGGCGAAACATAGCCTCGCACTTCACATTGTTAATCTGTAGCTTAGAAAAGGTTGTTGTGCAAAATATTTCTTTAAAATAGCGTTTACGAAGGCAGAATTTCCCTATTAATCTTTTCGAAACATGTGTTGCAGATTTTCTGTCCCATATTGCATTGCGGCCGCCTTTTGTAGCTCGCGCGAGGAGTTGTGGGTAGGGTAGGAAATGAGCATGGATTCGGAATATGGATTCTTTATTTTTTGGACTGGATTCTTACCAGACTACGTTTAATAGATGATTTTTCTTGTAAAAAGCATTTTTGAGGATATAATATAAACACATATTATTCATCATAACATTTAACATCTTTCGTTGCCGTATTTTTGTCTAGATCTTGCAAATTGAATTCGAAAATTCGATTTTTTCAGTTCGGTTCCGTTTTTCCACGTGCTGTACTTAAAATTTCTAGGGGACTAAGTTCGACATAATTTTACACAATATTTTTCAATCAAAATCGAAGTGGTTAAGGTTTTTTAGGCAATTTTAGCAATGGTTCGTGGTGGTCCAGCGAACAGAGCTGTCAAAAGAGCTAAAGTATTTGCTCTTGCCAAGGTAGAATTTGTTACATACGATGTTATTCTTAATTTGTACAGTATATAAATAGGTCTATTAAATCCCTAGGGGGTTGGGTGGGGCGGGGGCAAAGTCCCACAGTGTTTAGCAGTTATTGGAACGACCCACTCACCCCTATCTTGAGCATTTTGCAGTATGGGTGGGTTTTCCTAACTGTTATTACAGTGATAAAATAAATTATGCTTCAAAGGCACATGCATTTTCATTTTGTAATACAAAAGATCTGTTTAGGGCCATTCCATTTAATATACACACACCCCTATGGACGAGAATTTCTGAGGGGGGGTTGAAAAAGCCGTTTCTGACGGGTTGTGTGCATCGGCATCCTTTGATCTTTGCATTTTTTCTGAGGGGTAAGGCAAAAATTTCTTAATTTCTGAGGGGTGTTTGTGTCGGCACTTTGATCTTTTTTTCTTAGGGATTCAAATTTTATTGACCTCGTCCGTAGGGGTGTGTGTACATTAAATGGAATGGCCCTTACAGGGTGTGATAATTCGAGATTTGTAGTCGGTACCCGACTGGTACTCCAATGATTTTTGCCGCATACTTGAGCTGGTACAAACTTAATACCCAAGGTGTACTTAGTCTTTCAAATAACATACATAAAGTACAGATTTCTATTAAAAAAGTATTCATTCAGTAACCTGAAACTACAAGTCAGAATGAGAAAGATGACAATTACATACACAAACACTAGAATTGGCTCAAAAATTCCTTAGTCCCACCAGTCCAGTCATGTCTCATGCCAAGTCATGTCAGACGTACCTATATACCATTACGTGCACGGTTTTGAACAGGGACGCCGGAACTGGGGGGGCAGGGGGGGGCGGCTGCCCCCCTTGCCTTTTGCTAGGGGGGGCAGGGGGGGCAGAAGTGCCCTTTTAGTTGTAAAAAAATATGTGATAAATCACATTTCCAACGATGCTTTTTGTAGGAAAATCACGAGATTCAGGTCATTTATAGTTGATATTTATAAAAATTTTGGGAAAGTTTTGGAATTTAGAAAAATATTTTGAAGAAGATATCCGGAAAAATTTTTGGCTTCACGGAAAATTTTTGTATGTCCGGAAAAAATTTTTGACCCCTAAAATGGTACACTGACCGAAATTTTTTTGGTGACAGGGGGGGGGGGAAGTCGCCAAAAAATTTGTAGTGAAAAAAAAATTTTCAGTAAAGGTGCCCTTGGTGTGCGTCCGCCCCCCTTTGCCCTATTATCGTTCCGGCGTCCCTGGTTTTGAATACCTTGGGCTTGGTAAGGTACTGTGGTACCAGCAAAACAAAATGCAAGTATGCAGATAGCAAGAGTTCCTTGTACCTACGTTGTACTTGGTTGGAAACAAAGAAGTATCAGACCGTAATATTGGTATACCTCCAGTACGTAAGTACGCGATTTATCACCCCCCCCCCCGCTGTTTACACTACGCAGTCTACGCTCAATTTTGGCATGGATAAAACTGGTCCCTGTCCCAAAATGCAAGGTTCAGCTCAGATAAGTTTGTCAGTGTAAACACTTCACCTGTGCTACTTTTCATCTGAGCTGAACCAAAAATTTGATCCATGCCTTGCCAAAAATTGAGCATAGTGTAAACAGGCCTTTAGTTGAATTATCTTGCCCTTACATGTATCAACAGTTACAAATACAAAGTTGACCACCATCTGCCGCCTGTAACGCTTACTGAAACCACCTATAGACATTAACATGAAGAAATGTAAGAGAATTTTCAACTAATATATCTCTGTATGCCATTTTTAAACACAGTCATTTGGTGCAAAAGGTCGGTCAAAGAATGTATACAGCTTGGCAGTACGGATGGTGCAAAAATCATTGCAGAGGCAGTATGTTGCAAGAAAGACAACAAAACGTGACATGCGTTCTGTATGTGTTCACTGTTATTCTATAATCCAGTGCCATAATTGAGAACTGTTCATTTAGCACTTATCCTAATATATTTCAACTTGTATTTAGCTGTGGATCACCCGCATCAATATTGCAGCAAGAGAACACCATGTTCCTTACAGTGTGTTTATGAATCAATTGACCAAGGTTAATAAAAATAATATTAAAAACAATTATTAAAACAGGGTCTGAAATTTTTTTCAGTACCGTAGCCCACTGGGATACCACGATTCAGAGTTTATTTAATTAGTATTTACTCAGCCTGTTATTATATGAATTATAGAACAACATTCAATTGAATAGAAAAATGTTGTCAGAGTTGGCCATCCATGAACCAAGGACATTTAAGGTAGCTGGAGATTCTTTAAGCTAGCTATTTTATAGTATTCCTACATGTAACTAAGCCAATGGACCTAATGCCCCTTATAACTAAAATTTTTATCTAGACAAGTATAGACAAAAATTTCATCACAGCTTGAAAGAGCATCGCAAAATTAGTAATATTCTAAAGTTTTGTTGCGAAATGTTGTAAAATGCGGATAATATATATAGTCTTGCGAAGTTTGCCGATTTTCATTCATTTTGTATTACGCATGGGGAATTGTGTTGGGGTATCAATTTCCCGTTTGTAATACAAAATTACTGAAAATTGCAAATTTCGCAGGGCCACATATATTATCCACATTTTACAACATTTCGCAACGAAACTTCGGAATATTACTAATTTTGTGATGCTCTTTCAAGCTGTGATGAAATTTTTGTCTAGACTTGTCAACATCAAAATTTTAGTTATAAGGTTAAAGGTCCATTGTCGTACTATATATACATTTATATTTGTAGGCATTTGCAGATTTTGCAAGAGAACAACATAAGCAAGGTTTGAGGGCTGCTTTAAAGTGATAACAGTCGGGACTTCAAGAGATGAACAATCTATGCTCAAAATACATAAGCATAGCTGGCCTGGCTAACTGAATGCTTGTCACACAAAAATAATGCTGATACTGCATGTGGATTGTGGCTGATAAAATGCTCATCATAATGTGGATTGGTTTGGATTAGGCAATTTCTCACCTAAAAGAATGCATAATTTATTGTGTCATAAATTTATTTTTAATACTCTTTGTTTCCAATGAAGACGTTACATTTGTTGAAAATTAATTATTAAGAATATAGTAATTAATTAATATTACCCGATTAATTAAATTAACACACCCTCTTCGAAAGTATGTCACTTTGGCTATTGATCGCCTTGTTTATGTATATATGACCATTAAAGTCCAACATCTCGATCACGTAAATGAGGCTCTACATACAGCCAAGGTGGTGTACTTTCTGGTCTTCTGGAAGCATGTATTAGTGTGCTATATGGTGTTTGTTAAAACACAGTTGGTAGGAGACTTTCTTGAGGTCTTGCACTACTAACTGTGTTTAAATTAATACTAAATAGACACAGCATTATTATGAAAACATGCTAGCTCATGCAGTAGTTTATGTAAAAATCCATGGAATTCACAATGTTTCCTCTTTCATGCAACGTTCTTCCTCTCATTAATTTATCATTCATTCATCCAATAATTTGGTACCAGGCAATTCCAGTATCTGGGGCTATACCAATGCAAAGTCAGCAAAATATTCGCACATAAGTCGTTGATGTGGTCCATAGCCAACTCCCAACATTAAAAAATCTCCTCTCCTTGCTTCTGTTGAAAATATAAAACACCACACTCAATAAAGTCACCGAAAGATTGACGTACAAGCAAATGCACAGTCCCAGAGTCCACGAAACACCATAGTTTATGCAAAACGTCCATAACAACAACATTGAACAAAGCAGCAAAACAGCCTTGAAAATAACCGCTTTTAAAACAGGCAATCCAACCAAAACGAACAACAGCAATTTTAAAATATTCATTCTGTTTTTTACTTCGGTTTCTTAAACATTATTTCCGATTTTCCGTTTTAATATATATGTATATATTTTTTATTTCTATATTTTTTGTGGTACCCAAAGGAAATTTTTGCCGGAAAGAACATTTCCGGCAAAATGGAAGTTTTTGCTAAATGGAAGTTGGAAGGATTGAAGTTCAATGGTTTTATGAAAGTTTTTAAAATAATAAAAATATAGTACTGGTAATTTGTGCATAATAATCACGTTACTTTAAGGCTTGGATATTCAAGCTATAAAACTGGATAATAATAAAAATAAATGCTGCAAAAGATGAAGTAATTCAAAGCATTTGAACGAGCAATAATAAGCAAAAAGTATAAAATTGTATTTTCTTGTAATGGAAACACTAAAACTAAGCATGCGCAGTTATGCAAGCACGTGACTAACAGCGACCACGTTCTCTGGCTAAAATGGCGGCAGTTTGGGCGAAAATTTGGACGTAGCGAAGAAACTTTTCTTTGCAATTTTTTGTGGTTTTTCTTTGAACTGTGGTGTAGTAATGGAGCGTAAAAGAAAGTAGAGTACTTGTTTTACAAAATGATGTACGTTGATCCGACTTCGCAGTATAAATTCGTTGCAAAAAGCGCGCCACACGTAGTTACTTCTGAAACGACGGGTTCAAATATTGCAAATGACATTGCAACCGTTTCAGCTGCTGAGAACATTGCTCCGAGTACGATTCAAGCACCACCAAATGATGCTACCCATTTTCAAGCACCAGAACACGCACAAAAACAAGCTACCTTGGCTCAAAATGCTGCTAGTACGGCTGTGCCAATGTCACCCAGTCAGGTAGCTCCACCGGTGGGACAAGTGAATGTTGGACAGGGACAAGCAGCCGGGGCGGCGGGGGTACCTGGTCAAGGTCTAACCTATGATGGTAAACGGATGAGAAAAACTATGCAGAGAAGAACCGTCGACTACAATTCATCTGTCATCCGTTTTTTAGAGGTATGGGAATAGAGATGTGCATTGAATCGGATTGGCCTCTTTGAATATGCAGGTTTCTCCAGTTTCCGAATCCGATCCAGTCTGAAGCTGGAAAATGTAGTTTACTTCCCTTGACAAGTAAAATTGTCTGGTGTAAAGGCCTGAATCCACAGGCCTGACTGGAAAGTTTGGAAATTGCTCGCCTGAGATTTAGAAAATTTAATAGTAAATATATAGAAAGCATCAAAATTGCGTGCCGGAGATATCCGCCGCGTGATACAAACTTTCCACACTTGGTCCACGGGTACTTTCTGTGAAGTGCGAAAAAATTTTGTGTGAAATGAATTAGGTGCATGCCCAGTAAATACAATTTAGGAAGAAATTTCGCTTCACCAGTCAGTAGAAGTCAGTTCTACTCACGGCAAAAGCAAAAGCAGTTCTACTCATGGCAAAAGCAAATAAAGTGGCCAAATTCAACAAACAGAGTAAAATAATAAAGTAGGGCGCAAATTATGAATGGATTAAATTAGGCTTGGGCGGTTAACCGGTTTTGTTCGGTTTTCTTTTTAAAACCGGTTTTCATTTCCAATAACCGAAAAATCGGTTTTTCGTTTATATCTTTTTTTCATGATCTTAAAGAATTAGTGTCACACCAGGAATTCGCAGGCTCAAACTCCTGCTGGCGGCCATTTTTCGGGACGAATAGATTAGATGATCTGGAAAGTTTTTACAATCCGCCATACGTTTAAACCATCCTTTTATAATCCTTGCTCTTTTTGTCTGATTTGTATGAGAAATGCACCAAACAAGGTATTTTTATCGCTATTTGTTGTATTTGAGTAAAATGTAAACAATAACAAAAGCCCGCAATGCATGACCCTGACACTAATCCTTTAAAAGTGTGCAAATACTATTTTTTGCAAGAAATGCTGTACAGAACCCTCGCCTAAGTACAGTAGACAAAGTATTTTCTTAAAAACATGAGCAGACAAATCAGCTGGTCACCTAAAAGTTATCACGTAATGGTTCACACGTTTCTAGCATTCTCGTGCATTTCCTCCGGATTTGAGAGTGAGTTACTGTAGGTCTTACGAAATCATACCAAGACAGTGGTTAAGTTAGAATTTCCAAAAAATCCTATGTTAGAAAATTAAAAAGTCGGAAAAACCGGTTTTACGGTTTAATTAACCGGTTTTAAGTCAGACGGTTTACCAGGAAACCGCCCAAGCCTAGATTAAATCTGATCTGGTGGAAAAAATTATGATCTGGTCCGGTGGAAAAAAATGCAATCTGAGTTGAAATGGGTTGTTCCAGGAAAAATCCATACTCCCCCACGGAAGAAATTTCTGCTGTCAGGGGGGAGGGGAGAAAAAATGTTTCTGATAATAGTAAATGTATTAGGACATCCGAAGGGGGTAGGGGGGTTAACTTCCTATTTCCTCTGTGGGGGTGGTATGGATGTTTTCTGGAATGACCCAATATTGTAAAGTTGCGATCTGATCTAAGAAAATAGATATTATATAATATTGCTTTAATTATCTACCACCATGCTAAAAACTATTAAGCAGGGTTTGTATGGGCCCTTAAAAAACCATGAAAAAACCAACCAAACATCCTTAATTTTCACTCAAAACTCACTATTGAAAAATTATTTATTTCCTGTGAAAGTCCTTGTTTTCTTCGAAATTCTACAACAGGCCACGCAAAAGATATCACGGTTTACTGCTGATGATAAACCAGCGTATTTTTACATGGCCTTATGTTATGAAAAATCCTTAAATTCAATGTACCTACTGTAGCTGTGGTTAAACAGAATAAAAACCAGCTATTCTTCTTTCCAGATGCATCTGTAATTTTTCAGTCATAAAGAGGCATGCAATCAGTAAATCTATTTCATGACCTACACACTTTAATTTTTAGTAGTACCAATTTTTGAATAGATTTCCTGGCAATTGGTCCTTAAAATCTTAATATAGAACCCGTTATTGGAGATTGCCTCTGTGGTCAGTCCCTGCCTGTGTTATATGTAAATTTTGTCTAGTCCAATTTATGTCTGTTATGTTCGGTGAATCTTGTAAACAAATTAATAAAATCACACCATACATGACATCACATATTTCTAATGAAATGAATAATATAAAGACTGTTAATTATCCATGGTTAAAGGAAAGTTTAATGGAGATCTTGTGGACTCTCAAATGTACAGTACAGATTAGACCATTGCAGAAAATATCCACACCTCCCCACTGACAAAATGGCAACTTCACCCCTCCTCCTCCATTAGGCCCCTTCCTTTCCAGAATGCACAAATTTCTGCCATGGGGGGGGGAGGGGTTGTTTTGCAATGACCCAATACATTTCCTCGTGATGACACCAGCACCCTTGTGGAAATTAGAGGGTGGAGCTTAAGATAAGTGTAATATATTTTGCCTTCATAAATGTTTTGGTTGCCATCAGTGGCTTGTTTAGTGACACAGGATAACTTCTTTCATTGTCATTGGCAGGCCTTGAAATAAATCTGGATGTTATACCTGTCATTATGACCGGTGGATCACTAAATTTACCGGTCACAGCGGAATTTAGGTCATTGTCACTCCTTAGCTTCTTTTTCCCCCTCCTCTTTCGCGTGACTCGTAATTTTAGAAACAATTGTGTATTTTAATTGTATTTGTATTTTAGTAGAAGTACAGTATGGAGTTTATCAAAGCTGTAGTAGTAATCATTACCGTACTAATAACATTAACATTGTTTACTAGCAAATTAATATAAGTCCCAAAGAACAACTGTAGTTTGAGTTGCGAGCATGCTTTAAGGCTGCATTCCAGTTACACGTTTTTCATGTACGCAGGTAAAAGTTGAAATCGCTTTACATCCTACTTATGAAATAACTAAATTTATAAAAGGACAGCATTCAGTTTTGTGTATGATTTAATGTGTATTAATATTGTTTAAAGATTACGACTATTTACATATGAGAAAAAAAAATTAGTAATGAATACAATTACAATTTAGTAAATATTTACAGTTTATACAAAATAGATCTTCGATATGGTTAGTAAGGTTAAGGTTAAGAATCTGGGAAAAAAGAACAGAAGGAGTAGAAAAGTCAGCGTCTAGAATAATATGTGCTGCACGCTTTTGCAGTCAAAGAATGCTAATATACTTCTTATGCTTGTAGATATCAAAATAGTGCGAGGGCCGTATGTTAGATAACTTTTATGGTTAATACGTTTTCCCTTGTGAAATAAAGTTTCTATTCTATTCTTCAATTCAGTTTGGCTCGGAAATAAGTCTGAATGACACTTGTAAATTAAGATCAGCACAATGTATTAATTCTGAATGGTAAATGTTGTGACTTGTGAAGATATTAAATAATTTGTGTCATTCATGTTTATTTCCAAGCCAAAATTAACTTGCTTGCCTATAACAGTAGTAAGACTAAGACAAGTTAAGCCCGTTTTCTAATTCACCATTTTGCTTGCCACCCAGCGCTCAATTACATTAATTAAACAACATTTTTATGCATTACTCTGATTCTCCATTTAGCATACAAGCCTCTAGTCCTGGACTAGGGTGCATTTTGTTTACGTTGGACAAAGCTATAGTTCGGTCGGACACCAATACACTTGGGTGATGGGTCGGACAAACAATAAACCTCATTTTCACTTAGGCAGGCTTTCTTGCCATCCTACTTTTTCCTACTTTTCTTCAACTTTCCTACTTTTCCTATTTTTTATTAAAAATTGCTTGATTTTCCTACTTTTTCCTACTTTTTCTCATAAAATCCTACTTTTTTAAGACAGCTTGGGGAATCAGTATGTTATAGCTCTCGTAATTTGATCTATAGGACTCGTAATTTTTATTTCCTATTTGTGTCCCAGATCATAAGATCTCAGGAGAAGAAGTACATTTTCCGAGTATAAAATTTCATAGCATCTCTAGAATCATAATTAATCAATAAATTAATGAAGACTCCAACAACAGGGCCGTAGCAGGGCTGTAGCAAGTGGAGGGGGAGGGGGCTGGCGCATACAGGGCCGTAGCAAGTGGAGGGGGGGCTGCAACCCCCCAATAATTTGCTAATAATAAATTTTTTTTCAAAATCATGCAGACCTTTATCATTTAGTCCATGACAAACTGCAAAGAATGAAGATATTACCCATACTTTTCTGCAACTTATCTAATATATAGTTAATTAAATACGTCTTCGCCCATTTAGTACTACTAAATTGTAAATTTCGACATACTAAAATGCTGTTTTCTGACCATTGGAATTCTGTCAAATCTTCCCCAAAGTCCAGGAAATGGCATTTCAGAGACTCTAAATTTAAAGATTTCCTTGGGCCTTCGGCGGCCCTCGCTTTCAGCCTCCCCCCCCCCCCAATCGAAAAGAGCTTCCTACGGCCCTGATATATGCTCCTGCCGCAGTGTGGATTGGTGCATTGTGTAGCCCAATACATGCATTTGAATTGTGTTGCTGCAGAGCCGATGCCTTAGCTTTTATACCTATACAATTTAAAAGTTTTGAGAAAAAAATCCTGCATAGATGAATGAGTACATAAAAATATTGAGCACCAAAAATTCACACAACTTCCCCATCAGATATCTAATGGTCTACCCCTTACCACATATATCCTAGGGGGGCCAATTTTGTATATTTTTGTGTTATTTGCATCTCCAAAACTCCTACTTTTCTCCTACTTTTCTACACATTTTCCTACTTTATTCCTACTTTTCCTAAAATTCTAGTCCTACTTTTGTCCTACTTTTCTACACAAGGATGCCAGAAAGCCTGAGTTTACGTTTGGCGTATAAATTCCATACTTGAACTGCTACGAGGGCTTGTAGTCGTTAAAGCATGAAATTAGAGACCTTAAGATTGACGTTTACGGCAAACGTCAAACCGCTAGCGAAGGTTTTGATTTTACAACTCTATGATTATAGCTTTCACACCAGTTTTGAAATATGTTAAACTTATTAAACTTGTGCTCTTTATCAATGATTTAAGAAAGCAAATTAACCACTAGTCATGCCATTCACCAAAGCAGTAAATTAAGATTTGGCGTTTGAAGTTGACGTTTGGCGTATAAATTTCATGCTTTAACGACTACAAGCCCTCGTAGCAGTTCAAGCATGAAATTTATACGCCAAACGTCAACTTCAAACGCCAAATCTTAATTCATTGCTTTGGTGAATGGCATGACTAGTGGTTAATTTGCTTTCTTTAAATCATTGATAAAGAGCACAAGTTTAATAAGTTTAACATATTTCAAAACTGGTGTAAAAGCTATAATAATAGAGTTGTAAAATCAAAACCTTCGCTAGCGGTTTGACGTTTGCCGTAAACGTCAATCTTAAGGTCTCTATTTATACGCCAAGCGTAAACTTCAAACGCCAAATCTTAATTTACTGCTTTGGTGAATACATGACTACTGGTTAATTTGCTTTCTTAAATCATTCCTAAAGAGCACAAGTTTAATAATTGTTTAACATATTTCAAAATTGGTGTAAAAATATTATAATAGAGTTGTAAAATCAAAAACTTCGTTAGCGGTTTGACGTTTGCCGTAAACGTCAATCTTAAGGTATCTAATGTCCGTGACCGTCCGGTATTTTTAGGCCCGAGGATATAACTATTGGGCTGCCACTGTATCCAGTATATACTCTTGCATTAGCTTTAGAAAATGAGACAGAGGCGGACATCTCATCAGAATCTGTAGTTTGTTGATATTAAGATGTCATTCACTTACAGCAACTTTAATACATAAATTTTTACCCTTTTTAGACTAGAAAATGGTTCAAGAGCTCAAGAAATCAGCATGCTTTACAACCTCAAGAAATTTATAATGTTGATGTAAGGAGAGATATTTTTATAGTAATGGTTATTATAACAAGAATAAACAATAGCAGTAACAAAATAATTAGAGCTGCTCTTGAAGCTGTGTGCCGGAGCTCCGGCAGCGGGGGTTGGAAAACTCCGGCAGACAAAATTATGAAAAATTATTTCATATTTCAACGAACATTTGGCATTAAATGGGAAAATCAAGTTGTTGTTTACTAATATATTACTATTTATATGTTGTTTTACTATATACTACTATGTGGTATACTATTAATAGTGTTGTAAAAAGGTTTTTTAAAAAAAAGATAAATTCTGAAATTACACTGAAATACTTTCGCCTGCTTCCACTTTTAAATATGGAATTTCCTTAAAAATTTCTTGTGGAGCCGGAGTTTTGACTGCCGGAGCCAGTGCCGGAGCCCTGCTCTGTAAATTGTATAATTTATCATTATAAAAATAATATGTGAAATACATATTTTCCAGGTGGTCCCACCATGTGGTTACATAAAAAATCCAATGAATTCTGTTACAACAAAATTTGTACGCACATCAACTAACAAACTTCGATGTCCCATATTTTGTGTTGTGGTGAGCGTCCTTCAATTATTTTTTATGTATAATTTTATTGTGTACTATGTTGTATTATAATATATTATCATTTTCTTATCAACCTTTTCACTTATTTCCCCTTTAGTGGACTCCTGAAGGGCGTCGTTTAGTTACAGGCGCATCCAGTGGTGAATTCACATTATGGAATGGCCTGACATTCAACTTTGAAACAATTTTACAGGTAGGAAGCATGAAGGAACTCGATTGTACCATACTAGGTTGTGCTTGAAATTTGCAGTATCCCGATATCGAAGGGATACCGGATTTTAAGTTTGGATACTGGACATCACAAGCTCAGTATCCATTGGGATAGTAAATAAGTTAATGTACAACGCCAGGCATTCTCTGATATCTACCTATGCAGGAAGTTGTATAGTTTATTATCTAACTTATACAGGAATTTTTATTTTTGGATTTTGATGCCAGGATGAGAAGTGTATTTTCTAGGCCTGTGAGAAATATATTTTTCTTTACCACCATTTAGGCCCACGACCGAGCTGTGCGCTCAATGGTGTGGAGTCATAATGATCTGTGGTTATTGACTGGTGATCATGGTGGCTTTGTGAAATACTGGCAGTCAAATATGAACAATGTGAAGATGTATGAAGCACATAAAGAACCTGTACGCGGACTAAGGTGGGCATGGAACTCCAGTATTACACATTCCAACTGGATTTCATTTTTCATAGCTATAATTTTATTTCTTTACCATAAGGTTATAGTAGTTAAAATTTTTAAAGTTAATTCTTTAGTTTTCTTAGTTTATTATAAAATTTTAATTTTTAGACTTATCTTTATGGTATTTTTAATGAGTAGATTTGAAATTGAAATAAAGGGAATTATTGATAGATACAGATTAAAAGGACTTTTTTTATTGTGAATCTCTCATAGAATAGCTGTCATCTTACATGTAATATCTAATAGAACTGTATTTGTTATTTTGGCAGATGACTGGAATTCTGTGAATTATTTATAATGAAATTTGTCCATTTTAATCTTTATACAATAAAGCTTTAAAATATATTACACAACATCGAAGTTAGAACTAACTCCCAGAACCCCAAGCCGCTTTTTATTCAAATATTTCTTCTTGCCAGTTGCCAGGTTTAGAATGCATCTGGTAGATAAGAACTTTCCTGTTCCATCAAGTTTCCACAGATATATAAATCATTTTTATATCTATTGTTTCTTGTACAGATTGCCATTTCTTATTTCATCCCGCGGAAAAGTGATTGCATAAATTCATCATAATATACGACTCTTTTAACATTCTTTGCCGGTAATTAATACTTCACAAACTCTTGTGCAAATTATTCTGATGGACATGCATAATCTTAACTTTGGAGAATGTGTGATTCTTTTTGCATTCTTTGCCAGCAATACTTAACAGATTCTAGTGCGAATTCTTCCAATGGACATGCATAATTTCAATTTAACGGTACAGAATATCATGCGATTTTATGAAAAACAATTGTATGATAATATTACAGTATTTTAACATCTTTCTCGTACTTATATATCTTCAAATATATTCAGTATACGTGGGGTAAAAATACGAAAATGAAATACTTTGAATGTTCTTCGTTTTCCAACTCTTTGTGAAACAATTAGTTTGTTTTTCTCAGCCTCCTTCTTTGCCTTTTGTGGAATTGTAGTCTGTACAGTATTTGTGTTGCTGTGCTGTGGCTTATTTATCATAATTGTTCTTGATATTATAATATTTCTTGATATTATAATATTTCCTTATAGAGATTTACCAAAGATTCTGAATACCTGCATGCCAACTTATGTAAACTTGCCAACATAGATGGATTTTCAGATTTTGCTCTAGGAAGCGGGAGTTGATTGATGAGATGCGTAGCACCGCCGGACAAGCTGCAGCAGGGGGGTCTGGGGCCACAGTTGTTAATGGGTACCCAGGAAATTTTGAGACTTGGTCTTATTTAGTTCAAAATCCTTGTGAGCATTTAAATTTCTGGAGAAGGGCTTTGGGGAGTCAAAATATTTTGGGGGATGCGCACTCCCCTGCACCCCCACAACCCGTCTATGCTTGCCAAGTGATTTTGACTGTTGTCGATTTCGGCATACTTTTCAAAGCGCAATTTCCAAGTTTGTGGTGAGTATTCCCAATTATGTTTCTAAATTTGGCATATTGAGCGTGGAAGTAGCAAAGCCAACTTCGCAAGTTGCTTACTTAGGTCAAATTTAAATAATAGTTGGTTTCAGGTTTCCGACCGACCTGTCAAAAATATGACCGACCATAAACATTTTATTGACATTTCCCAGTAGAGAAAATCTTTTCGTAAATAGCAGAATATATAAATAGTCATCAGACTCATTTGTCTACAAATTATTTTGTTTGCTTATAATTTAATCATTATCTAGTCATGTTAATCATAGTTTTACACAAAGAACAGTTGAACAAAATATTAAAAACTTGCATTATTCTCAGTATTCTGACATGGGATCTATGGCTGAAAATGCCTTGATGCGAAACACATGTAAAAACAATAAAAACAAAGAGTTTATAATGAGTTTTAACTTATATTTATTGCATACTTGATATAAAATATTTTTTTTAAATAAAATGTTTTTCCGACCTACCTACCCATATAGAACATGGCTGTGAAACATGAAACCAACTATTTTTTTTATTTGGCCTTACGTACCGAATTACTGAACTAAAGTACCGAAGTAATGGACATAAACTCGTAATTTGCATTGTTTTATTCATAGGCGTACGGGACGGGAAAAAATTAGGGGGCGGAAAGAAATGTTCCCGACTTTTTCGCATTGTGCCCGACCAGTGGCGAAAATTTTTTTTCCGGAACAATTAATTTTGGCGACCCCCCCCCCCCAGTCGCCAAAAAAATTTCGATCAGTGTACCATTTTAGGAGTCCAAAAAATTTTCGGACATACCTAAATTTTTCGGAACATCCAAAAAAAATTCCCAAAATTTACATAATTTCCCGCAAAATTGACAGAATTTGTCCCATTTTATTTTATAATAACCTAATATTGCCCGACTGTGAAGCGAATATTGCCCAACTGGCTTTCTTTGCCCAACCAACTGGGGTTATTATTAAGAGAGATTTTATCGCTTTGACCACTTTTTGCCCGACTTTTGCCCGACTTTTGTTGAACATTTGCCCGACTTTTCGACTTTGTAATCCTTTTGGCGGGGGGCAGCTGCTTCCGTCCCGTACGCCTATGGTTTTAATAACATGGCCAACATATTTGACATATTTAAAGGTTTTAAGAAATACGTTTAATTTGTTGGCTATATTAGTAAAACGTTGCAAAATGAAGAGTTAATGTTCAATACATCTGTATTTTAGTTCAGTACTTCGGTACTTTAGTAAGCAACTTGGGAAGTCAGCTTTGCAACTTTCACGGCCAATATTCCAAATTTATTGAGAAATGCAATTGTGGATATTCACAACTAACTTGGGAACCGCGGTTTGGAACGTGTCCTGAAATTGACAATCATATACTGAAATTTTCCCAATCAAACGTTAATATTGCCGACTTTATTATTAATAATCCGCCCTTTACATAAATCTATAAAGTTTTTTAGACATGAACATGTCGACTGGAATTTTTTATTTACTAAAACGACGTATTAACAGTCCCCAATTTCTTGATACTTCAATAAACCCCCAACATTGCATTGTATAACATAGAGCTGGCTGAGGTTTCTGGATTAAGTTCTAAAGGGCTTTGTCAGTTTGTCTTTGGGAGGATTTTCCGGAATTCCGAGGTAAATCAGGCGTAGAATAAATATTTCACTTTCTGGGACCGCAAGAGAACATTGAAAAATTTTCTGCGAATAATCAAGTAAATCGACACTCGCACGCTGTAACTGTGTAACACTAACAAGTTGTCAAACTTAATGTCATGCCATATTTTAAGGTATATAACATAAAACTAATTTAGATCACATACTTCAGGGGACTGATCCTAAGTTAAATTTACAGATGCCAAAAATGGGTACTACTAGGGAGATCTGGGGACATGGTGCCCCAGAAAATTTTGAAAATCAGGTGTCTCAGACTCCATCTTGGAATATTTTCTGGGAACTCAAAACATTTTCTGGGACCATGGATAATAAAATAAATGGATAGGAAACTAGCTGACGTGACCTAATGTTTTCAATGGGCTGATGGCGTGGATGGATGTCCCAACCTAGTTGAAAACCAAATTCTCAAAAACGGCATGTTTAGCAATAATACAGCTAAACAATTTAGTCAAAGAGCAAATAAATATACCCACGCCATTCTACGATGAAAACTCTTAGTTTTCCCAGTCAGTTTTAGCAAATATTTCAAGCACTAAACAGTGAAAAATACATCACAAATTTCGTTAAAATTTGTGACGCCAATTTCGTAGCTACAAATGTAAAAAAAAATGCAAAGCAAAGACGAAAAACATTTACCTTGAATACTTAGTCGTGGCTTAGGCATGTTTTTAAAACAATTAGACCAGTTTATGCTTCAATATCACCCTTTTAAAGTGGAAAATATAGCAAAACAACAAAAATGCCGAGAACTTTGGTAATATTCGCAATACGAGTGACGTCACGTTTTTCAACAAGGTTGCGGCCAATGACGTCAGAAGTTTCCTATCCAGTTATTTTACAATCCATGCTGGGACCAATGGTCCCATGGTCCGATACGTTTTCCACCCCTGCCGAGGTTAGTGCCCAGGACAGCTTGCTCTCGCCAATGTTATTTTCTATTTTTTCAAGACCATGACCATATAACTCTCGCACATGTTTCCGAAACATTGGTCATTCTATTTACACTCCTATTTGTAATTTGCCTTAAAAAATAGCACGATTTGCATGTTCATGTAATGTGAAAAGAAATTAAATGCGTTAAATATTGGGCCATTTCAACATCTTATATCCATCCATCTATTTTAATCAAGTCCAAGCCAAACCTGGCACTATAACTTTTAAAACGGGATTTTGCATAACACTTAATAAGCATAATAATACGCGCCATTCAGTCACGATTCCGCTGGTCACAATGTTTCAGCCCCCCATTGTTTTGAAAATCCCATAGTTCTTCAAGCCGTCTAGTCACTCCTTGTTTTGACGTATTTTATTACATGTATTCTGCGTGTGAGGGGGAATTGAACTTGGGCAAATTATAAACCTAAATATAAGATAATAGTCGAAAATACAAGAAATGAGTAAGGTTTGCAAAATTTCTTTAAGCCCTTCGAAAATCCCCCTCCCCCGACAAGAATTTTGGCAATTTTACACGGAACATTTTTTTGATAAATCGCGCAAAATGCAAAAAAGTCGGGCAAATTACCTTCAGCCCCCCTATTTTTTTCCTTCCCGTACGCATATGGTATTCTGCATAATTGTTTCGTAATCATTTCGTTTCACTGCATCTGCTTCTATTATTCAATCTTAAATATTTCCATTTTGCTATAGTCCAACAATAACTGATTCTTTCTTGCCCGTCTGAAGCGTATTTCACATTCAATTGGTTGGATTGCTTTAATGTATTATTTACTAGTCGTTCGTTTTGCATTATTTTTGTTCTGTGCATGTATTTTGGTCTGTTATTGTATATACAGTGCCGTAGTCCATGTGATGTGGGTTTCCTGGGTAAATAAATTTTCCTGGATAATTGTAATTTTCCTGGATAATTGTAATTTATGACATTACAGCTTCCAATATTTGGGTACCATAACAAAAGAATTTTAAACAATGGCATTTAGTATTTTTACACAAGTGAATATAAGAAATCCGACGTGGTGATTGGTAAAATTTGACGTGATATTTCCGTTTTGTGGAAATCACAGATACAGAAAATAAGCGAAATTAAAATAAATTCAGTCCCAAAAAAACACAAAAGACTTGTGTAAAAATACTAAAACAATTATTCGCCTGAGGCTCGGTGATTATGTAAGAATTAATTACCGAGAAGGAGGGCTTTATGCTATATACAGCCCCGAGAACGCGAAGCGTTCGAGGGCTTTATATAGCATAAAGCCCGACATTCGAGGTAATTAACTGACTTATTTCATGATTGAAGAGGTTTTCTAACAAAGTTTTATTCTTTTTTTTCGATTTCGACAAGTATTTTTCTAGTTTTCTCGCTTATTTCTTGACTAATTAGGGCTTTATGGTATTCAAGGGCATTATGCTATATACAGCCCGCGGTACATCAAAGAAAACCGAGTCAATCATGAAATAACGGAGCATATCCACCTCGACTTTGTCTCGGTGAATATTCCCCGATAATTACCTCGCCTTTGGCGAATAATTGTTAATTTTTTTTTTTTGGTGGGGGGGCATACACTGCTCTTTCTAGTTTTTATCTTTGCAGAATATAGTTTTTCTCGATCCGATCGCAATTTCGCATATGTTTGCTGTCTCTTCGTTAAGTGTACTTAATATGTTAAGCAGTTTTTCAAGAAACTGTAAACATCTTGAATACGTGATAATGTGGGGCTAGGGGTTCCGCCAACACCGCTCTATATAGTTTTTCTCATTGCACTACATAGTTTTTCTCCATCCGACAACAAATTCGCTTCTTGTTCTGACGATGGTCTGGTCAAAATCTGGGATTTTTACAGATGTGCTGAGGAACGACAATTAAAAGGTTGGTAGCTTTCCATCTCCTATAATTCACGAGTATTACTGATTATAACAATGAATTACGGTCGAAAACGCTGATGCCTATGGAGCCAATTACGAAACGTGTATCTCAGCTTCGTTTTTCGCCAGTGAAATTCAATAAACACTTATTTACTGAGGGAAGCAGCATGTTTTGCGATCACGTGACCATTGTAGATGCCGAGACAGCTGACGACAACGACGAGCGGTCGAAGACACGCAAAACGCTGTTTCGCCAAGGACAAGGTTAAAATCCCAAATATGAGATGACAACATTTTTCGCTTTCTTAAAATTACGATTTTAAAGTGAGGCAAAAGGTAGCCTTCAAATTCAATTCTGGTTAGTCTACCCGTTCATTTGTTATGCGAAAACATATCGCGATTTTTGCCCCCATTAACAGGAACTTTGATACTGTCATATCGAGGTAGGGATCGTAAAAGTAAACTGAATACGTTCAAGTTGTTCACTCAAGTTGGCGCCGAATGACACTGACGTAATAAGTTCTTTGTAGGCGTGCATGACGGTAAACATCTCGGGAGGTGAGTGGGAACACCACACATGAAATTCAAACATTTCGTGGACAATTTACCACAAAATCATAAAAAGAAATTCGGGCGAACAATATTATTTATCATTTGTAAGTAAAGATGATTAAGTAATATATAGCCTAGAGGATTGTGTCTCTTGTTAAAATTCCATGCGTCTGAAACGATCGATGTTTTGTTAGGTCATGGTGCAGATGTAAAATGCGTAGACTGGCATCCATCTAAAGGTATTCTCGTGTCTGGCAGCAAGGACAGTCAACAACCTGTTAAACTTTGGGATCCTAAGTCTGGAAATAGTATAACCACATTGTGAGTAAATATTGCTAACTACTAGAACACATGGTACTGTTGTTGTCGATTTCAGGTCGTTTTTTCGAATTGGTTTCTGGGCAGTTGCCAGACAGTTTGGCGCCAAACGCCTCCGTAGACGGGTTTTCCCTATTTATTTATTGGAATTAGGGGGTCGGCACGAAGCTCTAGGAAGATGTTTTGTGATTGGTTGATTATGACAATGACAATGACAAAAGAATAAGCTATAAATTGATTTTCTTAAGAACGAAGCAAGAACAATATTGCTTTTGTTTATGTAAGCCAATTACGTTATTGTCATAGTCAACCAGTCACAGAACATCTTCCTAGAGCTTCGTGTTTACTGGAATTAGGGTGCGAGCAAGCAAAATTACTCGGCGTAGCAACTGTTACAATGCTCATAGTTGAAAGTTCAACGTTGACTTGTGATGAAAATTTCATCGCGTCACAACACGCCTTAATACTAGAATTACGAAAGCCGTGAGGCGTTTTCCCATTTCATGTTGTATATGTCTTCATCGCTTTCTAGACATTGTCACAAGAGTACAGTAATGGCAGCAAAATGGAACAGTAATGGTAATTGGTTAGTGACTGGCTCACGAGACCATCTGCTCAAGTTATTTGATATCCGTATGATGAAAGAACTACAGACATTCCGTGGACACAAGAAAGAAGCCACAGGTAAAAGAAGGTCGATTAAATATCTCGTTTCGCTTTCTTATCACCTCTGCAGATCACCTTATTTAACATAACGAAAAATAAAAAATATGCATTGTGTAATTTCATATGTAGTGGTGGCTTGGCATCCTGTCCATGAAACGTTGTTCGCAAGTGGAGGGTCCGATGGCTCACTTATGTTTTGGTTGACTGGGTACGGCTTTATCTCATTGTTTTTTAATACTATAAGAATTTCATCTGATAGCTCCTTCCGGAAAGTACGTCACTTTGGCTATAGAGCCTCGTTTTCGTGATTGAGATATTTGGTTTTGAGCCTTTTATCTTGTTACAGATGACACGTTTACGAAATCATACAGTTAAATATCAGTGAATATGAAAGACCTGTTTATAATTATGTCGTTAACAAGTTAAAGGCTCTAAAACTAGTGCCACAATGGCTCTGTCGCCACTGCTAAGTACTTTCCGGAAAGGCGGATTATATGTATAAGAGTTATTCACTCGTGTAGATAAATCTAGTGCCTAGATACCTTTGTGTTGTTCTATGCTTGTATAAACTGGAACAGTAGTAATTAGGCATGTAAGTTATCCAAAGTTGTAAATTGGGTATAAACAAACAGCCGATTGTGTCTATCCATAAAATGACAATCAGATTGAAGTCCTGGATATAATTTATATGTAATGTTGATTTTTAGGGTGGACGAGAAAGCAGGCGGGATGGAGAAAGCGCACGAAGGTATTGTCTGGAGTCTGTCTTGGCATCCTCTTGGGCACATCCTTTGCTCCGGATCCAACGATCATACAAGGTAAAATTGAATTGTGTGGCAACGTGCTACTCATACGAATATACATTAGATTGTGCTACTAGTAAATGTACTTTTTCTTCCATTCTAGCAAATTTTGGGCAAGAAACCGTCCTGGTGACGCGATGACCGATAAATATAACCTAGATATTCAAGGAAGTCAAGAGGATGGAGAATGTAGTACGTTTACGAATGTTTTTGTTGCTGCATGTTTAAATATTGTACTTTTGCATTTACTAATATGGTGTTATTTGAGCAATTCGTTTTGACATTGGAAAATCTTAGCATATTATGCTTTGTTACCATTTTGTCACGGCTGTCGTGACCAAACCATTGTCACCAATGTGTAATAGATACATCTTGTTTGTGTGCTGTGTGCAATCAATCTTAATTGCAGAGTTATATCGACACTGTATCATACCGGTCATTTTGGCATGATCACGACATCCACCGCCTAATGGAAACTAGGCATGTGTCACTTTTTGGCTTGTCTTAACTGGAACCAAAGACAATCCAGAAGACAATATGGATGATCCAATTTGTCTTTTCTTTTGTCTATGCTGAAACTGAGCAAACTATGTGTAATTCACGCTTTAAGATAAAATGTCGCAGTACTTTATATTGTTAAATGTGATTAGTTGTGGTGGTGTTTCAATTATATTATTTATTATTTGTGAATAGGCGAGGAAGGAACAAGTCAGACTTCCGTGCCAGCTCTAGCAGCGTATGATGCAACTCAAGTCATTCCTGGTGTTGGTCTTCCAGTGAAAGCAAGCAATGTAGTTCTCCCTGACTCCAAAGATGTCGACGCGCATTTGTATGGAGAGGGCAGTAAAGGTAAAGTAAAAAATCTTTGTTTTGAAATTGTGTTGTAATTCTCAGTGGCGAAGCCAGCCCGACAATTTGGACATGCTATGCAAATATTTCCGTGCCCATACACCATGAAAACAATCAATTTCTAAAGAAATGAATAATGATAATGATTTGAAATTTGCATAGCATGACCGAATTGTCGGGCTGGCTTCGCCACTGGTAATTCTTGTAATTCTTATATAATTTATTGTAATGTTCGTTTCTTTGTATTGTGTCGACAGTATATAAGGTACATTATATAAAGTCTATGGCAAAAAAACCCAGAAAGTCTTTTATTTATAAAAGGTGGCCAAGTATGAAAAGTATTTCTGTTCATTAAGACTTTCGATTCTTGTTTCAGATAACCGTAAGATAGCGGTCACTAAACCCTCGGCAACAGCGTCATCAGAGTTCCCGTACCCACCTGCCTTTAGACAGTCGACTCAGTCTCTTTTTGAAAATCGTCCTGGTAACTTTTCTCAAAACATCCCCGGTCTTGATATGTCAATCACAGATGTTCAGGTCAAACAAGAAAACGAAGGTAATATCTACAGATAATGTCACCAATCTGAAATAACTATGTAAGCTTTAATTTTTCCTCACTAATATTCGCTTTCTTTTTGTTTTAATGAAGGCTACAAGATCCCACGTCTTCCAGGACCACCTAAACTTCGATTACCTACCCACCTTCCGACTCCCCAATCAAATCCAGGGAACCATCTTCCTCAAGGAAATCACCCACCTCCAGGAAATCGCCCACCTCTTGCAAGTCATCCAGGTAATCGGCCACCTTTCGGTCCTGGTCCGAGATACGGTTTTGATTATCGTGGACCACCAGGACCAAGAGGTCCAGATCCAAACTTTAGACCTTCTGGTCAGTTTCAGCCAAACCAATATATGCGTTTCCCGGGGCCACAGGGTCCTGGAGGTTCTAGAGGTAGTTATGGACCTCAAAAAGGGCCTGGTGGCCCGCATCCCGAACCATGGGGTGCTCCCCATCACCTAGGACCACGTGGTGTCCCTTTTGATCCTTATAGACCTCCAGACGGCCAACATGGAGGACCAAGGCCACAGAATATACCTCCTGATCACTTTGGCCATAGAGGTGGTCTACAAGAAGGGCCACGGCCACATGGAGGTCCAATCGGTGCCTATGTACGTCCAGACGGCCAACATGGAGGCCCAAGACCACAGAATATTCCTACCAGCCAACATGGACTTGGAGACGGTTCTCAAGGAGGACCACGCGGCCCCTCAACTGATCCAAACGTACATCCAGACAGCCAACCTGGAGGCCCAAGGCTGCCACTAAATATGCCTCCTGGTTTGCAAGGAGGACCACGTTCACGTAGACTTCCAAGCGATCATAACGCACGTTCAGAGGACCCAAATCCATTCTACAAACATGGACCTAGAGATGGCTTGCAGGACGGGTCTCATGACGGACCCGCTGGTGAGCATGAAGCTCGACATGGTAGACCAAAACCAACGGATGTTCCTCCTGTCCAACATGGAACAAGAGATGGTCCGCTAGGTTCTAACGTACGTTCTGATGATCCATATGTAAGCTCAAGGCCGCCACTGAATGTACCTTCCAGCCCACATGAACCTAGAGATGGTTCACACGGGCCACGTCCAGGCTCAACCGGCCCCAGCACAGGTCAAGATAGCCCACATGTAGGGCCAAGTGGCCACGACATAGATTTCAGCCAACATGGACCAAGAGACGGGTCACAAAGGCCACGTGGACCCCCAACCGGTCCTAATATACATCCTAGTGGCTCACATGGAAGCCCGAGGCCACCACTAAATATACCTCCCGGCCTACATGGTCCAAGAGATAGTCCGAACTTTGGACCTCGTACGGTGAATGACAATGGTCATCCGTTTGGACCAAGAGGTCCCAGACCTCCACAATTTCAACAACCACGTTCAGATCAACCGAAGCCAGAGTTAAAATCCCCTGAAAGTGATAAACGTGGGGAAAATGATCTAAGAAGGAGCCGAGATAGTTCCCCAGGAAACAGTCCACCGGTATCTGCTAGTAATCACGTTAAACGAGAACGTCGTACCTCTGACCCAGAAGCACCTGGAATCCTCGGAGACTATCAGACCCATATGAAAGAAATGCACCGTGGCATGTTGGAAAATTTAGCAAGCTCTGCAGTCGGACGTCTTTTTGGACAGGCAAAACCGGACATTGTTCGTCAAGACCGACCACCACATGGTAGACAAGATACGGACCGTCATCACGGACCTGATACAGGTCGTCCAACAACAAGAGACCGTAATAAATCAGAAGGGGACCGACGTGGAGACCGACCACCGAATGAACCCCGTGATAGACCGGATATGGCCCACCCTGGACATCGTCCACCACGAGATCGCCCAGGGGACCATGATCGAGACCGTCCACCCTCTGACAGACCAGATATGGGGCGAAGAGAAGACCGTCCTCCCCATGATAGACCAGACATTGGCCGTCCAAGGGACCGACCGTCTTTAGAGGGTCGTCCAAGAGATCGTCCGCCCAGAGGTGGTCCACAAGAGAGATCTGATATGGGCCAGTCTGGAGGCCGTCCACCATTTGACCGTCAGGACTCGGGACGACAATCGGACCGTTCGTTTGCTGATGAAAAAAATGCACCTGCTCACGAAAAACCCGGATTATTACCAATACCTGACATGTTTCTTGCTCGAGGCCCACTGCCAAATGATGGTCCACCACGTGACCCTGGATCAGCCAATCACCGTCCACCTGATAGAAGACGTGATCATGGTCGGTTTCAAGACGGGAGAAATGATATACGACCCGATAATCCAGGATTTGGTAGAGGTCCTCGAGACCACCCCCCGGAAATGCGGCAAGGCAAAGCACAATCCGGGGGTGGTCATAATGATGGACCACCAGCAGCGGGGGAAACGAGCCTTAAACCTCTTATGAGTTTATTAGATGCACCCCCTGTCTCCCTTGGCAGTCCGCCTGGACAAGGTGGGGTGGAAAGCCGGGGGAGGAAACGCTCTATGGAGCATGAATTTGACCGACCGCCTAAACGAATAGGGACGAGTGACAACCGAGAGAGGCTAAGATAGAAGACCGGACTAAACCATTTTTTGAAATTTATTGTTGTGGTTTATTTGCCAAGTACTAAACCGTGTTGTACCGATAATTGAAAACACGTGATGTCGTTCATCTTTCGCTCACCGGATAGTAATCTCGTTAAAGATCCAGGCATTAATTTTGTGGATGTCACAGATACAAAGCTATGATTGTGTCAGCTAAAATGACCCGGATTTATACTGGATACGGATGATCCGTCAAGACGAACTATCTGTGTAATTCCAAGACTCTTTCCAGTAAAGATCGCAGTTGTTAGGTAGTTCGTATAGGTAATTCGTCTTACACCAAGACGGTGTACCATTAGTATAGGTAATCATGCGATGGCGAGTACAATTAGGGATTAATAGTACGAGTGATGTTTGGAAATCTTGCCAAAATTGGACGAGCCGCCGGGGCGAGTCCAATTTGACAAATTTCCAAACATCACGAGTACTATTAATCCCTAATTGTACGAGCAACATCGCATGATTACTTGTTTATTATTAGCATGACAAAATTGGATACGTACTTCTCATTTCTCAATGTCAACTTGCCAAAGCCCAGTCCTGCCAGACTTTCAACCAAAATTTGGTGCTTTTGTTTGTATTTTCATTTAGTTCTTTTGTTTAAGCAAAATTTGGTGCTATTGTTCGTATTTTCATGTAGTTCCTCTACGGCACTTTCATTTCACATTTGTGTTTAAAATACCTTTCCGCCATTTTGTTTGTTTTGGGAAAATCATTAATTGTACTGCAGTACAATTAATGAAATAATTGTACTCCTCTCAACCAATCAGCATCCAGTAATTTTGGCACGCTAATAATAAGACAGATAATGCATCTTGGTGGATTATCTGCCTCTAGTATAAATTCACCTATCTTGCTTAAAATCACAAATATGAAAACGTATAAATTTTCTTGTCTTAATGAAAGCAAGAATTGTTGTACTTGATGTACTAGAGTATATTCCCACCGATTAATTTCTCGTTTTTACCAAAGTGCCGCGTGTGTTTCTATTATAGTTTTATGTCCTAAATACAGGGTATAAGAGTTTTGTTCATAGGCTTGCGGCAAAAAAAATTTCGGGTGGAGGGTGGGGGAAGAGGCAGACAAAAATATGGCCGACGTTGATGGGGATTGCCCGATATTATCATGGGTTTATTGATAGATGAATAGAAGGTAAATAAAATGAACACATCTCCTATACAGACGCGTAGCCAACAGACGCGCGGAAACACAAAGCAATCTTAATTAAAACATTAAAATATAGCACTATGTGCGAGTATTTCTAGGATTTCATTCTTTAGGATATGATCCTCGCTCTACTGCGTGCAATTTACGTTTAATGAACAAATTTCAATCTGTCATTCAGTTTCTCTGACGAAACATCAATATTAACATCTAAACATTAATATCAGTACAAAATACATTCTACCAAGGCGAGAAGGTCTAGCAAATTGCCCGATTTTTTAGTAGAGTCTGCCCAAAGCCTATGGAAGGGAAGATGGCTGTGAAACTCATTCGAATATCAATATAACTCATCTATGTTAGTCAACGTTTATTCATAAATTTGTTTCTCATTCATCATTTTATGATTTAAAGACCAATCACAAACTTATTATTAAACTGTGTGCACGGAACCCGAGTAAATAACCAACATGAAAATGAGGCCATTGGGTCAAAAGTGGATAAACGGCATACCCATTAGCTGGTAATGCACCCTACTTTAGTATTAACTCGTCTAACCCCAGACAAATTTACACTCTGTAACGCCAGACGATTTTATTTGTCAGTGTTAGAGTACTGTCAGTATTAAAATGGGGTTAACAAACCTATCTGCCAATGTCTCTTATTAGCCCCCATTGGCTGGTAATGCGACCTACTTTAGTATTTACTGTGATACTGTCTATCAACGCCGGACAACTTTACTCGTGAGTGCCAGTAAACGGGTTAATTTCTCGTGAAGACACGTTCATTAGCATTCGCGTTTCCCTGATGTGTCACCCCCCGTGGCCCCCCGGTTTGCCGACGGACATCCAAATTTTGAACAAATCACGATTCACGTCGACAATACATAACTCGGCCAAAGAGACTGGGCACAAGTGAATGTGAAGAATAGTGTGCTGCCGAGCTTGGCAGCAACTATGTTGGTGTCGGTTTATGCAAGAATTTTGGCCTTAGAATTTTGGAAAGTTGTACTTTCATCGAGTCTCCAAACCATCTATATATTAAAATAACTGGTCACTGGTGGGATGATTACTTTCTAATCGTCCCTCGTGTTTTAGCAACGAGGTAAATTAGTCATTAATCGTCCCTCGCAAGAAAGGATTTCGAGCTAGCTATGATATTATTCTAATAAGTTTCATTGCCATCTTCTCTTCGATAGGCCATGGTCTGCCCAACTAAATACTGACCGCGTCTCCTACGCATATGGTTTTATTTTCTAAATGCTAACATACCTATTTCAATTTTGGCTAATAAACAAGTGCAAAACTTAGTCCCTAAAATGTCAATATTACTAAGTTAAAAAATATTTTTGAGTGTTTTCCCCAAGTGATTATAAGACGATGGTTTTTCTTCAAACTTTAGAACTGTCGCAGGTTCCAACACCTTTTTACATGGAACTTTTGGAGTGCTCATTTGGGGTATTTTATAACCCATACTGACGAGATCAGACAACCATGCCTTCATAACGATCGCATCAATTGGCTTTAAGAATTTTTCCTCTACGCAAGCCACTGTCAACTCCATAATACGGTTAAAAAAGTCCGATTTTGTCGGCTTCCAGTTTCTGAGGAAATCGATAAATCGCCTTGCGTCATAATATAATGCTTTTTCGTCGATAAAATAGTCAAGGTAGCTATGAGAGTTCCTTTCTTGGTACGCATTCGGGCCGAAAAACGCCAGATAACCGTCAATTTCTTGCAAAAGGCGTATATCGTAATAAGCCCGCCAAATATCCGTGACTCGCATTGCGGGACCGGGCGGCATCATCAGGCCCCAAAACGCGTCATATAGGAACAAAGTATTCTGCGAATTAAAAGGGGCATAACTTCCCGGAGGTAACAAAACCGGAGGGGCGTTTGAATCGAATTCGACATCAAGTTTAACTCCAGCATCCTTACGAGTCAATCGAAACACTGCGTCTACATCCGGGTCTCCATTGACAACGCCTTGTTGTATCAGTGGCCTAACCTCGCCACAGTTTACAAACGTGTGTTGTGCGGGGTCGCCTATGTTCTCCAGAGGGTACCCCCGTGGCCATATACTCGATTGACCAAAGTGCTCGTATGGGTTTATAACCGCGTGATTACTGGAGTATACCAAAAACGTGCCGGTCCCCTCTGGCCTGAAGCCAATGTTGCCGTTGTATGGGTAGTTGTCGTCGTCCGTCTCGTAAATTATTTTTGCGCCATGTTCGATAGCGTAAAGGTAGCCAATTGTTTTGCGAGAATAGCTCTTATAAGGCAGGAACTCTGTAGTTCTGTAACCGAGTTGTTCCTGTTTTTCCACGCTGAGGAACACCACATTGGGATACCTAAAATAACGAAAAAGGAACTTTTAAGCTAAGGCCCTGTCATACAATTTAATCTGTGAAAAAACTATCGTTTAGGAATGTTCGGATGAGAATTTTCCGGTATCGATATACCGGTTTTTCGCCCAAATTTATGATGATTTCCAAGCTGTTGTCTGTTGACACTTGTCACTGTTTTAACATGAAATGCCTACGCTTTAGCAGTTTGGGTACTTTGCATTTAACTAAAACAAATATTGATGATCTCGCCATACGGCATGGTGTGTAAATTTGATACGGTATATAAATAGATTATTATGACTGAAAAATTCAGTCGTACCGAGATAGCCGGATAGGCGATATTTTTGGTTTCAATAGACAGTACCGATATTTTCGGTAGCAGGACAACAAGCAGGACAAAAGTGCAACGTCAACGAGGACAGCTATTAATAATATATTAATGCATGAAAATGAGCAGAAATTTACAACTAAAATCCCACAGGCCACATATACGTTTTAGACGGCCACCGTTGGTGTTGCTATGCCTCTGAGCGCCGGCCTACTTCTATCAAACTGTGCTCTGAGTAAATACAACGTCAACGGCAAAATACAGATTACAGCCACGTCTTAATTGTCAGTATACAACGTCAACGCCACGTTTCCAAGCTGCGATATCCGCTGCAATTATTTGGCTGTCGCGTTCCCGTTAAGTTCGGTTGCTTTTGGACAAGGAAACTGATTGAATTAATTGCACTCCTTCCCGGGTGATTAGTGACCAGTGCCGTAGCCAGAATGATAATTGGGGGGGGGGGGGCACATATTCATATATTCGTGTTCACATACCATAAAAACAATTGATTTCAAAAGAAATTAATAACTGTAGCAGAACACGAATATATGAATATGTGCCCCCCCCCCCCAATTATCGTTCTGGCTACGGCACTGGTGATTACCTATTTGGCGAGCAAATTTCCACCAAATTTCTAGCAGTAATGACTACGTGAAATCGTGACACATATTTATACTACGATTCCCACTATCGAATCTACGGCGAAATTAAACTTCTTCGCTAAAAATTGTGTGTGCAAATGCCGAAATACGGATGGTTGCCAATGACTCGTGAGTGAAAATTGAATAGTAATGCAAATATATTTCAATCACCGAATATCGGCACTGCCACCATGCAACGTGGCACGCAATGTCGAGTAAAACAATTTGAAATTTCAGTATTACATTGCAAGCTATGTTACACCACGCAACACATTTGATGCAACATTGATTCTACTCCGTGCAACAAAAATGTTGCAACGCTTGATGATTGCGAGGCATGTTATACACCTTGCAATTCTCATCGGTAACTTGTGTCGCAACAAAATTGTTTCGATCCATATCTTGAATTTCTCAAGATGCTGTTTTTCCGACTTTCGCCATACGACTCGTGTCTATATACTATACTGACATACTTCCAATTATCTGGCGTCTTTAGATCTGCGACGACAACAACTAGCTTCCATCCTTTAATTGTGGACAATCCTTTCACTTGCTCGGTTGGCATCGACACTGAAGTCACGACTATCCATCTTTCGTGAATTGTGGTATTTTCTAGTCTTCGTCTTCGCTTGATTTCTGACCATTTGATACTTTCTTTCAGGGTTTGTGCGACAACGTCGTTTGTTTGAGAGTCTATACAAACGCTTTGTTGCTCCGTTAGAATATAGTAGTTATACTTATAGGAAACGACAAATAGAAAAGCTAAGAAAAATGTCACCAGTATTGACAATTTTGTTTTATTGCTCGACAACATTGTTATCGTTGCTTTATCGTCGACGTTGTGCATATAGAATACAGTTTTAAGGATGCTTTCCACATCAAACGCAACGTACGGACACGTAACAAAAATTTCAAAATTTACTGAATGCGACCAACTTTTTATTTTGACACGCGAATCAACCGGAAGTTACGTAAATTTGAAAACCCATCTTCAAGCTGCACATGCTCACCGGTGCGATCAGGGCGCTTATATATATAAGCGCCCTGGGTACAATACGGGCTTTAGGCGCTCGTGAAACTGGAAGATTAGCATATGCATATCAGAGACAGAGTATTTAGTGGTTCAATGATTACGGACACGTGACAAAACAAATTTCAAAATTTACTGAATGCGACGAACTTTATTTTGACACGCGGATCAACCAGAAGTACGTAAATTTGAAAACCCATCCGTCAAGCTGCACAGTACGGGCTTCAGGCGTTCAATGATTGAACCGTTCAGTCATTCTTTGTGTTTTATATTCATGCAAATTATATTCTTTACAATTATACTAATTGCAATGCCAATGGCAATGAATTTTAAGTCAGCATTTTAAGCAGAAAGAACATGCATCTATAAGACTATGTGCACACGGTGACGTTTTCGAGCGTTTTCATTTGTGTTTTCACGCTAAAACGGATACAAACACTATCAATTTACGACAGAAGTTGTAGTTTATTTAATATATCCGAGATATTTTCCTCTGGGCTGTGCGAATACGGCGTCAAAACGATTTTACGGACAAAAACGTTTTTGAAAACGCTGCAAAACGACGCCCGTGTGCACATAGCCTAAGACTGTAAAATAGGTTACTGCATGCATATACAACTTTTCTACCTTATCTTTCTTCGTTTTCTAGATTTTTTATTTGTAGGAACTGTCTTTATAATTATATTCATGCAAATTTATATATTCTTTACAATTATATTAACTGCAATTACTATACACAGCCAATTTCGCGCAAGTCGGAACAGATCTGCAACAGATCTGTTAAAACCTGTTGTCAACAAGCCGATATCTGAATGCGTTCACTCGCCTTGTACCCGTCTGTTCTCTACAGGTCCCCAACGGCCTGTCAACAGGTCGGTTACAAGCTGTTGTGACAGAGCTGCAGCAATGACCTTTTTTCCTTGACCTTTCCAAAGCTTTTGATACAGTCAACTTTGAAATTCTTTTTAAAAAGCTACAACATTATGGAGTCAGGGAAATTTGTCTTGAATGGTTTAAGGACTATTTGCATGGACGAACTCAAATTGTAAAATTTAAACATCATGGGTCAATTGAAATGAATGTTACTACAGGAGTCCCGCAGGGTTCAATTCTTGGTCCATTGCTATTTCTTTTATATATAACGACATCGAAAACTGTAGTGATATTCTTTCTTTTGTATTATATGCAGATGATACGAATGCTTTCTATTCAAACTCGTACTTGAAAACCTTATCTAGTACTATGCAGAATGAAATGAAATGAACAAAGTAGTGAAATGGCTCAATGCAAATAAATTATCGATTAACTCTTCTAAAACTAAATTTGTAATTTTTAAATCAAAAAATAAGTTATTGAATACGGAAGTCACATTGATAATAAATAATAATTTCTTTAAGCAAGTCCTATTTATAAAGTCCTATTTATAAAGGTGTTATAATTGACCAAAATTTGATTTGGAAGAACCGCATCAGCTCAGTTCTCCAAAGCGTTATGAAATCTACAGGTCTGATTGCAAAATTAAGACATTTTACGAATACAAACACCTTAAAATTAATTTACTATGCATTAGCTTATCCATACCTCACGTACGGAAATCTAGTTTGGGGAAATACATATCCCACAAGATTGCAAAAGTTAATGAATGTCCAAAAGAAAATTGTTCGATTGATTTGCTTCAAATCTTATACGGATCACTCCGAACCATTATTTTTAGACTTGAAAATTCTGAATATCTACAAAATTAATGACTATTTTTGTAGTATATTCATGTATCGTTTTAATCATTGTCAAAATTTACCAGACTTCTATAGTAATTACTTTAAGCAAAATAATGAATTTCACAGCTATAATACACGTAATTCCACCAAGTTACACGTTAGCTACAAAAGAACGAATTACCGCAAATATACTGTCTTCAACAAAGGCGTTTCTCTATGCAATAGTATTAATGAAGATATCAAAAATACTATGTCATATTTCTCTTTTAAGAAAAAAGCAAAATTATATTATTTAGTATCTGATTGATGTAAATATTGTAAATTACTCTATCTCTTTTGTCTTTTCACTATTATTTCTGTTTGTAAATAGTATATGCTCTTTATTCATGGCTATTGAAAAATAGGGGCCTTACGTAGCCTCTAGCCCTTTATATTATTATATTCTCATATGCTTTGTATATATATATATCGTTTTGTGGGCAAATAAATATCTATCTATCAATGCTGTTTTCAACAGGCCTGTCGCAAGTTGTTGTGACAGAGCTGCAGCAATGCTGTTTTCAACAGGCCTGTCGCAAGTTGTTGACACAGAGCTGCAGCAATGCTGTTTTCAACAACTTGCGACAGACCTGTTGCAAACCGAGAAAAGCGCCTTATGAAGTTTGTGTATCCACTATTTTGAACAAAAAAAACGATCAAACAGGTTGCCATATTTCGGTTGTAGTGCATGTTTCGTGAAATAGCCAGACTTTCATATATAAAACACTTATAAACAAACTTGCGAGATAATTTTTGAGCAAAACAAATACGACAAATTAAAGAAAGGTTCTTACCATAAACAATTTTCAAAATTAATTGGTCTTTAAGTACGACTGAAATATGACAACCTACTTGCATATTTTTCTTCAAAATAGTACATACAATAACACAAAGCTTCAATAAGGCGTCTTCCTCGCTCGCAGATTTCACTTGAAATTGGAAAGAAATTGTATATAACGAATTTCATATATATTCATATCAACAATGAAGAACGTTACAGTGAACACTCGGTTGTTCATGTATTTTTCATTTCTTAAGCTCTAGGTCTTGTGTTCTCATTGCCACAGTTTCTTTAAAAATCAAAACGGTTCTGTTGTACACACGTATAAAAACACGCAAAAGTTGTCACCGGTCTGCAAACAAGTTGTTACAAATCTGTTCACAAGCTGTTGACAAGTTGTCTTCGCACTGCTTGTTCCCAGTTGTTGTAACAAGTTTGGAACAAGCTGTTAACAACTTGGAACAAGCTTGATGGCATTATCAGACTTGTTACAAGGTTGTTCTAACAATTTTGATACAGTCGACGATAAACAAGAATGTTACAAGGTTGACGACACAAGGTTGTAACAATACTGCTATATCATGACTGTATCGGACTTGTTGGAACAAAAAAGTCTGATAATATCAACAAGTTTAATAGTTTTGTTTGTGGAAACACCACGCAAATTTAAAGTTCTATTTTTACTGAAAAATCAGCCATTTTGTTACTAAAAATAGATTTTTTTCTAACTTTGAATCGCCATATCTTCGCACTGCCTTGTTGTATTTTTAATGTTTTTACAGTTTTGAGATCCTTATTGAACAATCTCTTCAAAAAAGTTATTAGCATGTTCTTAGCTCGTGTTTAATTTTTTGGCGCCAAAGTTGGCACGTCATTTTCCCGCCAAAATGTAACAAAATCGAAAAACAAAAAACATACGATTTTTAGGAATGTTAAAGGTGATCTACAGTCCGATCTGCGCATGTGCACAAAGGAGCCCACTTTTTATGATACAAACAGTTTAACTATGTTTTGGGTTCTTGAAAAGCCTGATTATTGTTTCTTGATTTTGCTATTACAGAAGACTCTGATCTTTTAGCTTATGGCTGCAAAGAGGTTTGTTTATTTTATTTGGTATAAAAATTCCCCAAGGGAATTGGACATTTAATTTGGACCCGATTTGAGGATTCGACATATTGCTAACCCTGCTTAACAGAGGTATCCGACCCTCGGAATGGTGCACTTTTACCTTTTGTTATATACAAACGCTTTGTTGCTTCGATCGAATATAGCGAACGACAGATAGAAAAGTCATGCCGAAAAATGTCACAAGAGTGAACGTTTTTATTTTATTTGTCCTAATCATTTTTATCGTTTATAATGTGCATATAATAATAAAAGCATTTATTTAAACACGATAATAAGGAACAGTCATTAGATAGCTTAAGATCTACGAGGTCGACGTCAGCTAGGATGTCAGGGCTAAGCAGAGGACTGGGACTAGGACGTCGTCCTAAATAAATAAACTTCCACTTTAGATTCACGACATCGACATTTAAACTATAAATAATTACATACTGCAACATTTTTTGTTAGTGAATTCAATTTTTGTGGTGATTTGTAGTCCTAAACAGCAGCTGCAAAATTGTCTTTCGAAGGCTTCGTTCATGTTGTTTATGTTTTTTAAATCAACAAAGTGGAAGCACGCATCTTCTTCCGCTGAAAACCCCAGCAGTTTACGCGCATGCTCAGTCAATTTTCTCACCTGTTGGGCAGACCAACATACTGCCAACCAACACCGCGGAAAAACGTCTGCGCATGCAACTATGTTGGTTTCGGTTTATGCAAAAATTTGGACCTATCTCGTTACGTGTATGTTTTCCCGCACAGCCAATAGCAATGTTTAAAATGAGCATTTGTTCAAGTTACGTACTATTTAAAGTACGCGTAGGAGTGTTTTATCAGATATAAAACGCGAGGCGCAGCCGAGCGTTTTATATCTGATAAAACACGACTACGCATGAAAATCAAAGAGAAAAAAGAAAAAATCAAAGCTAAAGTTTATGATTGTGTTTTCCTCCTGAATTATTGAGTTTTTTAAGGATGGATAACTCAATCACAAACTTGTTATTGGTTATTTGAGCGAAAATACAATACACACGTGACGAGATAGGACCAAATTCTTGCATAAAGCTGGACAATAACATAGTTAATGAGTTATATTGTACTTTCATCGAGTCTCCAAACCATCTATTAAAATAACTGGTGGGATGAGTACTTTCTAATCGTCCCTCCTGTTTTAGCAACGAGGTAAATTGGTCATTAATCGTCCCTCACAAAAAAGGATTTCGAGCTACAATCTTGGACAAAACCCTTGAGACCATTTCAGCTAATATTACAAAGTTATTGAACATTGACAAAACAAACTTTGTCTCCCCCTCCCCCCCCAGTTCAATGTTGTGAACAACGCCGAAACAACTTTTGGTAATATACCATGATACAAGCTCAACATTGAGTTGGGGGAGCGGGGGTTTAAGAATGGCAACATGATTCAACATGGAGTTTATCATAAAAATACGCGAATTTTCTATAGGGGGAAAATAGTCTCAACCAGTTACGTCCAAGATTGTAGCTATGATATTATTCCAATAAGTTTCATTGCCATCTTCTCTTCGATAGACCATGCATGGTCTGCCCAACTAAATACTGACCGCATCTCCTACGCCTATGGTTTTATTTTCTAAATGCTAACATACCTATTTCAAATGCTAACATACCTAGTGCAAAACTTTAGTTCCTAAAATGTCAATATTACTAAGTTAAAAAATATTTTTGAGTGTTTTCCCCAAGTGATTATAAGACGATGGTTTTTCTTCAAACTTTAGAACTTTCGCAGGTTCCAACACCTTTTTACATGGAACTTTTGGTGTGCTCATTTGGGGTATTTTATAACCCATACTGACGAGATCAGACAACCATGCCTTCATAACGATCGCATCAATTGGCTTCAAGAATTCTTCCTCTACGCAAGCCACTGTCAACTCCATAATACGATTAAAAAAGTCCGATTTTGTCGGCTTCCAGTTTCTGAGGAAATCGATAAATCGCCTTGCGTCATGATATAATGCTTTTTCGTCGATAAAATCGTCAAGGTAACTATGAGAGTTTCTTTCTTGGTACGCATTCGGGCCGAAAAACGCCAGATAACCGTCAATTTCTTGCAAAAGGCGTATATCGTAATAAGCCCGCCAAATATCCGTGACTCGCATTGCGGGACCGGGCGGCATCATCAGGCCCCAAAACGCGTCATATAGGAACAAAGTATTCTGCGAATTAAAAGGGGCATAACTTCCCGGAGGTAACAAAACCGGAGGGGCGTTTGAATCGAATTCGACATCAAGTTTAACTCCAGCATCCTTACGAGTCAATCGAAACACTGCGTCTACATCCGGGTCTCCATTGACAACGCCTTGTTGTATCAGTGGCCTAACCTCGCCACAGTTTACAAACGTGTGTTGTGCGGGGTCGCCTATGTTCTCCAGAGGGTACCCCCGTGGCCATATACTCGATTGACCAAAGTGCTCGTATGGGTTTATAACCGCGTGATTACTGGAGTATACCAAAAACGTGCCGGTCCCCTCCGGCCTGAAGCCAATGTTGCCGTTGTATGGGTAGTTGTCGTCGTCCGTCTCGTAAATTATTTTTGCGCCATGTTCGATAGCGTAAAGGTAGCCGATTGTTTTGCGAGAATAGCTCTTATAAGGCAGGAACTCCGTAGTTCTGTAACCGAGTTGTTCCTGTTTTTCCACGCTGAGGAATACCACATTGGGATACCTAAAATAACGAAAAAGGAACTTTTAAGCTAAGGCCCTGTCATACAATTTAATCTGTGAAAAAACTATCGCTTAAGAATGTTCGGATGAGAATTTTCCAAGTATCGATATACCGGTTTTTCGCCTTTTAAATTAGATGTGGAAACACCGTTTATGATATTTCGAAGCACTGTTTCGAAGCTGTTGTCTGTTGTCACTGTTTTAACATGAAATGTCTACACTTTAGCAGTTTGGGTACTTTGCATTTAACTAAAACAAAATAGTGATGATTTCGCCATATACATGGTGTGTAAATTTGAGACGGTATATAAATAGATTATTATGACTGAAACGTACCGAGATAGGGCCCTGGGCGATATTTTTGGTTTCAATAGACAATACCGGTATTTTCGGTAGCAGGACAACAAGCAGGACAAAAGTGCAACGTCAACGAGGACACCTATTAATAATATATTAATGCATGAAAATGGGCAGAAATTTACAACTAAAATCCCACAGGCCACATATACGTTTTAGACGGCCACCGTCGGTGTTGCTCTGCCTCTGAGCGCCTACTTCTATCAATCTGTGCTCTGAGTAAATACAACGTCAACGGCAGAATACAGATTACAGCCACGTCTTAATTGTCAGTATACAACGTCAACGCCACGTTTCAAGCTGCGATATCCGCTGCAACTATTTGGCTGCAACCTCGTATCCAGGGTCTTTCTTATGGAAAGACCAGGGACGCCGGAACTGGGGGGGCAGGGGGGGCGGCTGCCCCCCTTGCCTTTTGCTAGGGGGGGGGGCAGGGGGGGCAGAAGTGCCCTTTTAGTTGTAAAATAATACGTGATAAATCACATTTCCAACGATGCTTTTTGTAGGAAAATCACGAGATTCAGGTAATTTATAGTTTATATTTATAAAAATTTTGGGAAATTTTTGGAATTTAGAAAAATATTTTGAAGAAATGGCGAAAATTTAAGATATGCAGAAAAAATTTTGGCTTCACGGAAAATTTTTGTATGTCCGGAAAAAATTTTTGACCCCTAAAATGGTACACTGACCGAAATTTTTTTGGCGACGGGGGGGGGGGTCGCCCAAAATTTTGCAGTGGAAAAAAACATTTTCAGTAAAGGTGCCCTTGGTGTGCGTCCGCCCCCCTTTGCCCTATTATCGTTCCGGCGTTCTTATGGAAAGACCCTGGCGAACGCTGGTCACATGTCTCCCATAATATGGGAGATGGAAATTGTAAACTTTTCAATAAATTAGATCGTTGGCTTTAGATATACAATGTAAATAAGTCTGTTTACGCTCACCTGGGAATATTGTACGAAGCCTCCCCTCCATAGTAAGACAAAATTTCCATCTCCCATATTATGGGAGACACGTGACCAGCGTTCGCCAGGGTCTTTCCATAAGAAAGACCCTGGGTACGAGGTTGATGTATCTTGGCCCGATAAAAAAAGATTGTTTTCTTTTGTTCTTCTGTCACTGCTTTCACATGTTTCATCTTTGAAATTATCAATTACATAATTTAGAGAACTTGCAAACACTGAAGAAAAACCTCGATATGACCCGCTGTGCAAGCCGCCATTTTGACACTACGGGCTCAATGTCATTACAGCGCATTCCAGCTCTGAGTATCACAGGGAGCAGAGGAGTCGAGTTTGTCTAGTAAAACAAGAGAAACACCGTCTTACCACAGAGAAGAGATGTACAGAGAGGAAACTCGCGGCAAATTATGTCACGCCGATATATTAAGTCTATTAACTATGTAAAATTATGTTAATTCACTATTTTATTAAGTTGTGGTAATGCAGAGGAATAAAACTATACATATTACAGAAGTATTCATTTTTTATGCAAGAGTTATATTTTGAGGAATTTATATCATTCGCTGCTTTGTTATTTATACATGAGCGTTTGGAATTCCCAGCCAGTGCATTTCACGATTTTAATGAGGAGTATATAGGGAAAAAACAAACTTTTTCAAAATAAAATGTTATGTTAACACTTGTAATAAAAGGAAATCAATAAGAGTGATCGCTTACCATTATTCTACAATAATGGGTACCTCATTTTTTAAAAAAAGCGATTTTCACCTTTCGAACGGCGTTTTCCCTATCTTTTGCTATGAAATTTCAGCGATGGCACTGGCTGGTAAATTGGAAGTGACGTATTTTTTCGTGTTGATGCATCAGTTGATTCAAATTTGAATTATTTCCATTATGAAAAACTAACATCAAGACTAATATGAGAATTCCATAAAAATGTAAGATATGAACAAAATAAGACAATTCAATTGCCAAACGGTTAAAGTAAATATTTACTGAGGATTGCTGAATGAATTACTTTACTAAGTTACCTAGATACAAATATATGTTTGTCTATTCGAAATTTTAAAAATTTTTCCTCCACTCCAAATTTTTCCAACGATATTCATCGCATGCCGTTTTAAATTAAATCTCTCCATGTTTCAAATAATATTTTACATTTTTAAATGATATTTTACATTTACAGTTGTTTTTATTGTTTACGTGAATTTGAAATTCAAAACTTGATACTAATTACAACTGTCAAATAAAGTTCTACTTCGTCATTGGTCAATGGTCAATGCGTCTTCCGGTTTTATTCACTTCCGTCATAGGGTGTTGCGGTGCACATGCGACGAAAGATCAGCAATATTTCCTCCCTTTATTGTTCGTTGCCCTCTTGGCTAGTGTTCGTCAGATTCTCGGAAAATACGAGTCTACGGTAATTCAAAGCAGCGGAGTATATTAATACTGAAATTCATATTTTGGTAAATAGTTTGGTTTGTATTCGATCATTTTGATGAATATTAAATATGCATTTTTAATGCACACATTAGGATTCTATATATATTGCGATTCTATGTGTATATATATATATATATATATATATATATATATATATATATATATATATATATATATATATATATATATATATATATATATATATATATATATATATACACATACAGACACACACACACACACACACACACGTGTACGGTTTATAAAACGTTCGAAATATAGTGTTAATTATGACTACGACGTGTGTAGTCATTTACGAGGTTTCCCTTTTTTTATACAAATTAAAATAATTTGTATAGTATAAATATAGACTAAGATTAATTTGTTTTTGTATCTGCGAAGCAGATATATTGCTGTCGCAAACGTGCCGTTAATGTTACCCATAGCCATTCAGCGACGAGCTTATATAATTGAGCCAATTCATGATAATTTAAGCCAATCAGCGATTAGTTTACATAAATTGTTTACTTCGTGCCCGCATCTAACCTGCGAACGGGCATCGTTTGGCCGCGGGATTCGTGAATATTTTTGCCATTTTCACATTTGGCTTTAAAAATATCTTGATTTTAATCTTCAATTGGCTGTCTTGTTTTCACGATTCTACTTGTGATATTATTCCTTAGTTATCCTTCAATATGGGAACTTATCCTCATCTGATAAGTAGTCAAATACCACATATTTTATCTATATCTATACATTATAGCAGGCAATATTGCCAATGAACAATATCACAGGAAACTAATGTTCTCAGTATTTCTGTAACTCTGTTCAAAACAGCAGTCCAAGTAAGCTGTTATCTAATATATGTAGTGTTTGAGCAAAGGTTAAGATGTTATCAGTCAAAATACTTATACATTTGATTTTGGTTTTACACATTAGACTATTAGAGTTTCAAAAGTATACAAAATTTTTACAAACATTTTCAAATTCTAATAAAAGAATCCCCACCCTCCCTCCTCATTACATTGTCATTTTGCTTTCTAACATAAATGTTTTTGTTTAGAGATTAATACAAGAATGATGAATAAGCTGGATATTGGCTAGATAATTTTGTCAGAACAACCCACTTGCATTAGTATGAAAAATAACTTAACAGCTACAATAATCATATTATATGGATGGATCAGATCAATGGCACACAATGTACAAAACTAAAGTTGTGCTACCTTTACTCAAACCGATATTCTCCCACAACAAAAATTGTTTTTGTGTGGGTATGTTGTGCTAAAGTGAACAGTGACGTGTGGTATATCATTAACTGTGCACAGGATTGGAATTGAATTAATATATACTTCATTCATGACCTTCAAAACATTCTCTTCTATTCAGTGGTCTTCAATATATGATTGACTCTTTGCTACAGTAATGCATGTTCCTCGAATAGTTTGTGTATATTACTCAACAGTTAACATTATGGCAAGTGTAAACAACAAGTGACACAACTTTTGCTTCATCTGATTACAATAAAGTTTTGAAAATGCATGGTTTGACAAGTGACAGTTTACTAAATAGCCGGCTGTTGGCTGTATAGACACTTCAAATATTGTTTGCATGAATTTTTTATTTCTTGACTGCATAATTATCCGTTATAATCATAATCGGGGTATGCTAAAGTCTTATTTGCTATTATATTTATTATAATAAGTGATTAAATATTTCAATTGTCCCATGTCATCTTCATTATCCAATTCCTTTCAAGAAAATGCAAAATGTGAATCGCGTTTTTTCGCAGATACATGTACGCGTTGCGTACCTATTTTTAAATTATTTTGGGTTACCAGAGATTTGAGGCTATCTTCTCATTCTTTTGTGCAGAGAAATAAATAATTAGAAAATAAATTTACTAAAACAGGATCGTCCGATGACATCGTGTGTTGAAGTAATTTTTGTTTAGTTTCTTATGTTATATTGAGATCAAACATATTTTCGAGAATGTTGTTTGAGTTCTCTCGCAAGTGTTGGTAATTTTGGCATGCGACGGCGAAATGAAATTCGTTTTCCACTTCGCCAGAATCACATAGTTTACAGATACGTTCTTCTCGAGGTATATTTTCGTATCTTCCTCGTTCAATTTGTAACTTATGGTTGCTTCTGCGATATTGGGAAAATGTTCTTCTTATTGTTGGATTTTGAATAAGGGATAAGTATACTTCCATTTTGTATTCATTTTTGAATTTACAAAAGAAAGAGAGTTTGGAGGATTTTTTCATTTTTTGTCGCCAGAATTCAACATATTTGTCTTTCATTTTCTTTACGACGGTTTTTGTATCGTAGTTGATTACGTCACATTCAAAATTTGTAATTTTATCGTAGAATGCTTTTAGCATGTTTATTGAGTTGGCATAGAAAGATTCTCTGCCTATTTCATATGGTTGTTTAGACATTAGTAAAGATTGTTTAACTATTGAGTTGTTGTCTAGTTTAAAAATATGTTTAAAATCATTTATTATATTCTTTTTAATTGTAATCAGAAGAGGATATTTTCCGAGTTCTGCAAGCTGTATTGCTTGCCTTTCTGTTAACACCCAAATATAGCTTGCAAAACCTTAAGTGAACCTTTTCCGTATCTGAGTTATCCCATTTATTTAGATCATTCTTTTCATATGCTCCCCAAACTTCTGAGTTGTATAGTAGAAATGGGAGTGATGATCGATTCGAAAATTTTTATAGCTGTTTTCGGCGAGAGTTCGTGGAAGTCTAGATTTTTACGAATTTTATAAAGAGCATGCAAAGCTTTTTCGCTTAATTGCTGTTGTGCGAGTTTAAATTTGCTATTTGGCACGAGTTTTAAGCCAAGATAGGTATATTCTTTAACTATATCTATCTTCTTATTTCCAATGTGGAAGTGGAGGTTTGGTAATTTTGAGTTGTGTTTTTGAAAAATCATAACTTTTGTTTTCTTGATGTTGACTTCCATCCATTTACTACACCATTCGTGTAACTGATTCAAACAATTTTTTAGACCATGTTTTGATCGTGAAAGTATAATTAGATCATCTGCATATAAGAGACTGTTGATAGCAGTTCCGTTTTGTAATACAAAAGGGTCTGATTGAGCTTGTTCAAATAGTTTAGGAAGTCGTTAATATAAATATTAAACAATAGACGGTATTTGTCTTGTTTTAGTAGACAAACTCAACTCCTCTGCTCTCTGTGTGAGTATGCGTACCATTTGTTTCCCTAAACCGGTTTCAGAACTTTTTTTACAAACTGGATCTTTTTTCTAAAAATCTTTTTGTAGTTCCCATCATGTCAAGGATAAGAATTGCGGATGAAGATCGCAAGAAAATCGATAAGAAATTCATCTGTACAAGTTGTGACATGTTGTTGTGCAAGCCCATACAAACTCAATGTGGACACTTGATGTGTTTTGCTTGCGTGCAAACATTGCTAGAGTATGTTGATTTTCTTTCTTGCTCTGCCTCTTCGCTGCGTTTTATATACCTCGTTCAGGGTAGGCTGAGTAGCCTCTGGCGATTTTAAGGGAGGTGCGTCGGACAGCAAATAATTAGGGAAGTGAAGTGCGAAAAAGGTGAAAATGTATGGCGCGCCGTTTGGACCAAAAATATTCGAGAATCAGAATTAATGTCGAGAATCGGCCAAAAGCGATTGAGATTTTACAACCATTCGAGATTTTTCAGGTATTCGAGATTTTACAGCCATTCGAGATTTTACAACCATTCAAGATGTCTCAGCTATTCGAGATTTTACAGCTATTCGAGATTTTACAGCTATTTGAGATTTTACAGCTATTCGAGATTTCACAACGATTCGAGATTTTACAACCATTCGAGATTTTACAACCATTCGCGACTTCAAACGTATTCGCTATATCAACGAAACTCCCCATGAAAATACCTGTATCTTTATTGCCTCCCTTAAAATTGATTTCGTCTATAATATTAAAAATTATAAGAGCCACTAAGTATTTTAACAAAATACGAAAAAAGTGTAAAGGCGGTTTTCCAGTCCTCGCACAAAGCTCCTCGCTGCGAGTGCATGCATGAGCACTTTCAGCCAATCACAATGCAAAACAGTTAATTTTCATTAGATGCAAGCACTCGCAGCGAGCTGCGAGGAGCTTCGTGCGAGGACTGGAAAACCGCCTTAACTCCAAAGATCGATAACATTTAGTTACACTTGTTTCGGTGAGTGAGTTGTTTTGTATTACATCTTCTGTTTGGCGAAATGGGCTTTCCGTTTTGAAAACAACGTTACTAGAAACATTGTCATTTGACCGAAGAAACGGTCATGTTTTATACGGTAAAACGGAATCGGCTGTAACAGGTTTCTTTTCATGGACTCCAAGGAGTAGAAACAAATATTAATGAAATACTGAAGATGCCGTGACCGTGGTAATAACAGCGATCAGTTGGATCGTGGAAGAAGGGGCCCATGGCATGTTATAAGCGCGGGGCCCCTTGACACACACACACACACACACGGCATTTTAAACACTAAATTCAGAAAGATTCAAAAATATAATATTGTACTCCAAAAGTTGCCAGCGCATTTACAAAAAAACGAGAAATATACATCAATAATTTGAATAAAGTGACACAATGAGTACCAGCAATAGTATCATCTGTGACAAGTACTAACCTAGAAGTATATACCTGCTGTGCATTATATTGGTTTGGGCCCCGCGCCAAAGCAGGGAACAAAAAATTCGAGGCCCGTGGCATATGCCGCTTCTGCCATATGTGATATGGTTAATTCATAGATATGACATATCTATGGGTTAATCCGGCACTGCCGTTTGACCGTAAAACTACATGCGTTCGCGTTGGGCTGTTCAACCTTGACCGTTTCTAGGGTCAAGTGACAATGTTTCTAAGGGGCGGGATTACCAGTTGAATTTATAGAGGCTGTTGTTTTCAAAACGGAAACCCCATTTCGCCAAACAGAAGGTGTAATATTATAGCTGACGAAATCAAATTTAAGGGAAGCAATAAAGATACAGGTATTATACAGGTGTTTTGTTGATATAGCGAATATGTTTGAAGTCTCGAATCGTTGTAAATCTCGAATGGCTGTAAAATCTCGAATCCCTGTAAAATCTCGAATAACTGTAGAATTTCGAATGCCTGTAAAATCTCGAATAGCTGAAAAATCTCAAATGGTTGTAAAATCTCACTTTTGGCCGATTCTCGACATGAATTCTGATTCTCGAATACTTTTGGCCGAAAAGGCGCGCCATAAAAATGTGGGCGAGAAAAGCTGTCAGTGCCAAAATGATTTCGGCACGATTGAACCGCCTGGCTGGGCGTTGCCTCTGTCACTCTGCCAGACACAGCGTGATGCTAATCATGCAAACAAGGTTTAATAAATTGATCCTTTAAGATTGAATATTGAACAATGCAATATTATCCCCGAGCCGGCGGCGCGAAGCGCCGTGCGAGGGTACTAATTCCC